TTTGTTGCTGAACCTCAACAAGAACGATTGTCTGATTGCAAAATTTATATTTGAAGCTTTACAAAGAATATAAAAAAATCTTTTTAAAACCTCTTTACACTAGCGGTTTGAATGTATCATCTGTGTGAAAGTTATAAGAACACAAGGTGAAACGTCGTATCCTCATAATGTGGACAAGCGAAGACGATTGGGGATTCTGTCCCCTTACTGAGACAAACAAAAGTCGTTAACTTTTGTACTTACTGTCTTTTGTTTGACGGTCAACTTTATATAGGTGACTGTGATCAATGGTTAGCCCGTGTCAGTATAATACAGGAGAAGGTCGATCAGATAGCTGTTTATAGACAACGCTAAATTGTGGAAGCATACCTCTTGAAATAATTCTCGATCTACCAAGGGTACTCGTTTGAAGTTTTTGTAACCTCTAGGCACTCCACTGACAAAACCTGGCACGTTCATAAATAGCCATAGCTGTTAATAGGACGTAAAACACAAACAAACTAACGAACCTTTGTACCTAATCACTCAGGATTCTATGAATTGTGGACTTAATTATTTACATCAAAGGTTGCATTGTAATACTGAATAACCTGTACATATATTTAAATTTCTACTCAAGTTGCACAAATTAATAAAACAATTATACAATTGTATGGATCAAAGAGGTAATATAAACGGTAACTTCCCAAATGACACCGGGTCCTTTAAAACGTATGTTTGTAGGATACGAAATACTTAAAATTGATATATGGGGCAAGAAAGTGTAGACCAATATGAGGTTGTAAAATTATTAAAGTAATCCGCTCCTTTATCGAGAGACAGAAAAAACACAGAAACAAATGAAAACTATAATAGGTCATAACTAATATTTGAAAGCAATAGGCCATTTGACTACCGTAAGCCGAAGTCAGAACTTACATTGGCCGCATCGTTGACCAATGACACTGTGTGTGTGCGAACAATGACCAAAAGTTTAATATACCTGGAAACCTGAAGCGTGAAGATAATGCTGAAGCTGGATAAAATGATAAAGGTCCAAAGGTGATAAATGGGATAATATTTTATTTAAAATATTTATTTACGATTTTGGGCTATGCAAATGTTTTATTCGGGGTGATTAATTGCCGAAATGGTTCATGACAACGGACATGTAATACAGATCTATATCAAACGTCCCGTTTACACGTAGACTTCCACTCCGGTATATCAAATGCCAAATGATAGATTTGCAAAAGTTCAAGGTATTTACAAATGGTATAATTAAAATAAATGGATTGGATCTTACGTTGGTAGTTATTAGAGACCAAAAGACATTATTTGTTTGTAGCCGAACTCAATTAATTACCCCATGAAAACGACAAAAGCGAGATTTAATACTAAAGAAAAACTTAGCTTCAGATTGGTTCTATATCGATTGAGGTATTTTCGAGGCGTTTAAGACTAATATCTACTGAACAACTGTATCGATAAACATAATTCCTCACCGTTATCACTGCACTATCTTCTCTGTATCATGGTTACTTCAGTTATCGAAAAAGATAATTATACACGATAAATTGTCTGAAAATTATTTAATTTTTACGATCGAGGTTACAAACTGAGATTTGCAGGATATGCATACGTTTCAGCCCTTGTAAACCCATATGTTATAACACTGAACACCACGTTGTTGTCGCTATGTTGAACAGAACATGTTTGTTTGTTGTTGCAGTTGACAGATATGAAGCTAAACATCTCGCCGTCAATGCCAGGAAATGTCACTGATCCAATGCGAGTCAAGTCCGTCCCTTTAGTGGAGAGAAGCTGTAAGCCGGACTGGTCGCTTGTCCGGATACTGACAACGATAAAGTTTTCGAATGGAGTGTTTTGGAAGTAGGAAACTTGAGGAGGCGAAACCAGCACGGGTTCATTGGAAAACTGGTTTATTGACGGAATAATTGACATTCCAACTTTGATTACATTCAAAAATAGTAGGACAAGAACAGGTCTTTCACTAGAAATGCGGTACGGTTGAGTTGGATCTGTATCTATATTAATGAAGGTTGATATAGTATATGTTTTAATCGAGGTTTTAGAAGCGACAACAACACTCGTATTGTTTACCGACGAGACAATCCTGATAATACCACTGGTACTTCTCATAAAAGGTGGTACAATGAACCTGGAACCCCATTTTGACACGGGAGGTAGATACTCAATGAGATGGTTACACCCTTCTCTGTTAGAACAGACATTACCGGACACGACCGCTACTGGCTTATCGCTAACGATACGCGTGCCTGTCAGGTCCTGGTAACTCGTTGTTGTTTCTATATAGAACGTGTCCAATTTGTCCAGTATGACGGTGATTTTATCTCCCACCTTGTGATATTGGCCAGGAACAGTCACACCTGATGTACTGAGTGTGATATTGATCAATGTGTTGTCGTACGGCGCTCCTACAGCAAATGAAGTTCCATAGATGCTATAACTCTTTGTATTAGGTCTGAATGTCCCCACGATATAGAAGACACCAAGACTCTCCATAGGTAAGGCAAGGTATCCATCCGCTGTTCCACCTGCAAGACTGTTAAATGCAGTGACAGACATTAGTGTGTCAGACGTCAGAATGAGCCCTTTGCTTGTTTTGCCGTTTTCTCGCATGGTCATGTTTGCGTCTATTTCAATATATTTTGCTGGACCAGAAACAGGTTGTGATGTTGCGTTATATCGTGTGATCACTTCTATATTAGCATGAGTAGCTAAGAATGTTACGTTTACACTTAGGTGTTGTGCAATGTAGACATATTCATGATTTCTAATGAACATCAAGAAAAACGATTTTCCTTTGAAACCTGTCAAAAAAAAATACAAAAGGATGTATTTCATGACAGAGTGTATGTCGAAAACTAGTTTATGAATGTCAAACAAATTACAAAGTATGATAGAAATGATATAAAGCAGACATTGACGATCTTACATCCTTATGTTACAAAAATTTCACATTTTACTTAATTAGAAGAAGCATTTTTGGAAGACAACAGTAATTATATTTGACATCAAGTTGGATTCAAACATATTCTCCAAAACTGCTTTTGAAATCATCATTGCAAACACATTATTTTCATTATTCATAGATGAAGGCTTCTTTGCGGATGCGAGTTCGAAGAGCGAAAAAATAGAAAGGAAAAGACTGAAAGAATGCCACTCTTTGAAATATTAGACAATATTGAGACGACTTTTCATACATTCGATTGCCATTCTCTTATTTTAAACAAGACACTTTAAACCATATATTGGTTAATGATATATATATTCATATATAAACGTTTACTCTATTGAACCTTTTTTCTTCAGCAAATAGATAATATGAGAATCAAAAATGTGGAATTATTCATGAAACAAATACATTTATTTGTATATTTACTGTTAGTTATGGGAGCCTGGGTTTTTGGAGTCGGAGTTGTTGCCGGTATCGTTGTTAGCACGGACGATGAGAAAGAATTACCTGGTAAAATGTAAATGTTAAAGATACGACTCTGGTCGAATTAATATAAATATATAGATATGATATTATTTCTTATTTTGGCTTCGCATTAACTGAAGAAAACAAAAATTATATAAAGGACACCGACCATGCTTAATTCCTGGGATTTTTACCGATATCTTAGTAAGTAATTTTCTAAATATATATCAACCGATAATTTGAACAAGGATGAAGTGAGAATGATGTCACTGATATTTACTTGATGGAATCACTACTACAAATGGAATAAAACTTATGATAAATTTCCCATTTTGTCGAACCGTATTCAATGTGTTTGAGAGGATAATAAAATGTAAGAACTTGAACCAATTTCCTTTGATTGATATTGATAATTAGAATATGTTTGAACAATGAATCTGATGTTTGTTTGTTTAACATATATGGGTAGCTACATTAATAATATTGTCATTAAAAAGCAATTATCATTTTACATTTGCTGTTACAGAGGTCATATGGGCAGCAGGAGAAGCAGGTTCCAAGTTGATGTGACCGCTTGCCAACCTCCACCGGGTTATATGTAGGAGGAACACATCGCTGGTCCTTCATCAAACAGTAAAGAACAAACCTTAAAGAATGTTACTCTATTGTTTATGCTGCTTCAACAAAACCTAGACATGATACGAGAGGCTTTACAAACGCGCGAATGCAATCATCTCTGAAAAGTACAATAAGGAATAAAAAAAACTGGAGCTGTTTGTTCATTATCAACAACAATTACTTTATGAACTGAAGTTATGTTGTAAAGTACACTTAGGAGACATATATGTAATCTATACAAACAACCATTTCGTAAATATAATGGCACTCACTGTATTCGGTAGGCAGCTTGTTTTGTAGAATATATCGCCGAACTCAAACATTTCCTCAACGTAACATACCTTAAATAAAATATTTAAAATTGACAGGCATATCATTGGTTGCCATTGCACTAATAACAACTGGTTTGACAGCTCTATATCGGGGAGTTCTTCCTGCTGTTTGGTTTTGGTTGATCTCCCATAGGTTTGGTATGGTTCAGTAATGTTTAACGTCCTATCAACAACTAGGGTCATTTAAGGAGGGCCTCCCTGTGTGCAAGATGCATGCGAGTAGTGTATGCGTGTGTGTTTCGGGAGGCTGCGATATGTTAGTGTTTGTCTCCTTGTTATAAAGCGGAACTGATGCCGACTTTATAGTGCTACCGCACTGAAACATACTGCCGAAAACACCCAGCAGGCCTCTCCCATTGGACCATGGTTATTTGACTTCTTGTATATTGAACATGTGATATGTTACATAATACTCTTTCACTTCTGGAACACCTCATTTGTTTCTCCTTTTGCTTCCTTTTCATTGGTATCAATGTTAATCTTTCCTTTGTTCATATTTTGACCATATTTTATCAATTTTCTACTGGAAGTGTAGTTTTGATGACACTTCCGTATTTTCCTGTTTTATTTGTACCACTATAATTGATTGGAATCAATATCCTTACCTCGCTTTGTTGACAAATGGAGATGGCATCACAATCAGCAAGGTCACGTGATTGTGGACAATCTAAACATACCGGTCCTCTTTGTGTTGGAAATCCTATTTAAAGATGGACGAATATAACACGTAATTAAAAAGGATTAAAGCGCTTCGTTCGTTCGTTTAATAGAGTTTGGTCCCATGAACGTAGATATAAACTTAATTTTCTTATAAGTCTGATTTGATGCGGTCGCTTCTTATCGCAGGTGATAAATGCAAACCAATATTAGCACTGATATAAAGCTTCTGTACCACAATAGGAGTAATCGTCTAAGTACTACAAACCAGACTATAACAATGTAGGTCTTCATGTCCATAATGCACAATTTATAACCAAGCGACAAAATCACAGTATGGAATTTCGCCCATATAACGGCTCTCCCTAAGCTGCATTCGGTTATCGCGATGCAACGATTGAACCAGTTGGACAAGAGTTGTTAGTTGAAGAACAAAATTGTTCGGACCAAGAAATCAGATGCTGTTCTTGCAAGGCCTGAATAAACAGTTGCAGGTCCGCCAGGATTTATACCCGAAAAAGGAACATTTAAAAACAGACAGATCAGTTGAACCGGATACGTGGAAGGGGCCCTAGCTAATGTCTGTACCAAATTTTGACTAACCGCCCATTCGACAACCCGCAGAATTACAAAGGTCACTGTGGCAGCACTCAGTACATATACGATGCGGAGGAGTTCCGATGTTATCTGTCCGAAGGATGTCAGCGAAGCGTTTATGACCGCTGGTCAATGCACATCTCTTGATGAACAAATAAAAAAAAACCTTAATGATTTATATATGAGTGTTCAAGTAAAACGTTTAATATTAAACATGAAATACATCATATAAACTACAAAATATTAAAAAGCAAAAGATCTCAAATTCATCATCGAATTGATTTAAATTAAAAGGATTTTACAGGCATTTGATAGGAAAACCAATGCACCTTCCCTAACCACCGGGAACTGGCCTTACATAGTTACATGGTACTACATAGTCACGACACTGCATCCATTACTAACGTACAGGCGGCCATCCATCCAGCCACTTGGTTTAGTTGGTTCAGTTTAAAGTCCTATCAACCGCTATGGTCATTTAAGGACGGCCTCCCTTATGTGCAAGATGCATGCGTGAAGTGTATGTGTGTGTGTTTTGGAACGCTGCGATATGTTAGTGTTTGTCTCCTTGTGATAGCGCGGAACTGATGCCGACTTTATAGTGCTACCGCACTGAAACATACTGCCAAAGACACCCAGCAGGACACCCCACCCGGTCACATTATACTGAAAACGGATGAACCAGTCGTCTCACTCCTAAATTGATCAGCGCTAAGCAGGAGTAAAAACTACCATTTTTACAGACTCCGGTATGTTTCAGCCAGGGAACATAACCCAAAACCTTCCTCAAAGGGGCGAACACTAAACTAACGGTTTTATTTAGTATTGTTTAACGTCCTACCAACAGCTATGGTCATTTATGGAAGGCCAAAAGTGAGGCATTGTCAAGGAAGACATTAGGAAGAAGAAAGTTGTTTAGAATAAAGAGAAAAGATAAGATCACAAATTAAGTCGCCTTTTACAATCATGCAATGGGGGCAGCAGGTACAATTCTTACGCCCCACCTGCAGGGACATCCAGCCAGCCACTGGATACGCTCAGCATTGCTGAACAAGTGAGCGGGTCTAAGGGGAAAAGTGCTGTACTTTTTATGGCGTTCTGTCACAAATCAACAAGACCGCGCAAAAAGTGATTTAGTTTCATATTAATGAAGCGATATTTACCTGATGATGTTAAATGTGTTACTCATAGAACATGATTCATCCGCTTGGATAGGTTATGAACCATCCTATTAAAAGTCACCATATTTACGGTTATTTATACCTTTGCAGACGCACACCCAACGTAAAACATGGTTTCACCATTCTCGCTTCGGTAGGACTCAGTTATGCATACCTGGATATAAAACGCATATTCTTACATCTATGAATTTTAACTGATTTAAATATGACTTGGTTCATATACAGATATTTTTCTTGTTTGTTTTTAAATTGAGGTTACGGACAAGACCCCCGTAAATCCGATGTCCTTACTTCATTAAAGACACCCTATGCAAAATGCTCCTAGGGTGATTAATTGTTAATAAATATCACCGTCATAGAGAATAAGTTGTTTTAAAGACCTAACTCACGGAAACAACTACAGGCAGTTATACGTGTACAATTCGATTTTTCTACGTAAATCCTATTTTAAAATGACCATTTGTGACCTTTTCTCTGATATATTACCGAACACACTATTTAAATCTCAACTATAATTACAGAGCCACGATAAGAGATAAGATAACTCGTGCATACGGATTAGTAATTCGTATACATGTATTGGAATGTCATGCGCACGGGTTGGTAACTCGTACACACGGATTAGTAAATGTATTCATATGTCCCTTCGTGGTCTCCGTAACCTTTTTGTTAATATTTGACATTAAACCTCGTTTTTTCCCACAAAGATAACTGTATTTAATGGCCTACTTACGTCTCCTTCAGGGCAGAGTTCGATATTAGAACACTGATGTGGTTGTATGAAACCATTACAACTTAAACATCGTAGGGCGGTGATATCTGTCAAAGAACCTTTGATTTGATTTTACATATGCAAATGTACAAAATAATATTATAATAATGAATATTGATCGATGGACAATACACTACAGATTGTCAGAGAATACAAAAAAGAATGACCAGCTGTTACTCACTGCATATATCGTAAGAGGCGACTTATGTGGGAACCATCTAACGACCAAAATAAATGTGCTGCACTCATTCCGTCTTGCTTGGCAGTGCCGCACTATTGGCCTCAGTGTTGAACGTTCGCCTAAGTGGGGAAGGCTTTATGTAATGTTCAAGTGCAGAACACAGCCCCTCGATGATATTCCTTTCTAAACGTTAGTTATCAACGTTTAGCACAACAACAAGTAAATCCTTTGCCAGCATACTGTGATCGGTATGTATACTGTTTTGATAATTAAGCAAGGTTGCACTCAAATGCGGCAACAGATCCGCGCAATCGTAAGAAGGTAAATACACCAATAAACCGCCTCTAACACCCACGCATATATGACCTACATGACGACACGTCCTTAGATGACATGAGCTGTTTATGGGACGCTTAACCAAATCGACCCTAACTAATCCGATCGCTGTGTAGGAACAGTCGCGTCTACATAATGTATACCTGGAAACTTTCGTCCTTCACAGATAAAATCAAAATTAGCCCCGTGTTAATTTATCCCATCACGTTTATGCGATTACTTTACACGTTATATTGCGTACTTATATTGGCTGCGATTATATATTCTTCCCTACTTACGGTGTAAAAACAGAAGTTGAACAGCGGCGAACATTTCCCGGTATAAAGTATTACATCACGGAACTATAAATACAAAATGTATACGTAAATTTTACTGATACACAAGATAAAAAAAAACTATAACTGTAAGCCAAATGCTAACTAATACCCCCGCTCCTATATAACACAGAACTTTGAGCTAAAGCCTTACACATGCAAAGCATTGCAAAGCATTCCAAAGTATCCCACCAGTAATTATTTCTTTGTTGACCGAGCTGTACACTTATTTAAGTATACAGGTCACTGATATACTTCCTGTACTCCCTCCCCATGCGAAAACATACTTACATACCAAGTTTTGTTAGCCGAGATGAACCAGTTTCGCTAAAATTGTCCTATTAGTTAAGAGGAGAAGGTGTCAGGACAAAGATGTTTAAGGTAAGGACATTTAAGGACATGTCTCGTTGTGTGTTGTGTATGCATGCATGTGTATAAGTGTGCCGGAGACAGGATGAGTTGGTGTTTTTGCCTCCTTGTGTGATAGCGCGGATCTGATGACGCCTTTATAGTTCCATCTCACTAAAATACCATACCGAAGGTACCCAGCACAACATTCCATCCTGTCGCGTTATACTGAAACGGGTGAACCAGTTGTTGCCATTCCACTAAATGCTGCACGTTAAGCAGAGAACTAGCAACTACCATTTAACGAACTTTGGTATGTCCCGGTTTTGGGGATAGAACCAATTGCCTTCCTCACCTGAGCGAACGCTCAATATCAAAGCCAAAAATGAAGTGTTGCCAAGGAAGGCGCTAGGAAATTAAAAGTTGAAAGAAATATAAAGATCCCAATTATTGCAAATGGTGCAGCAGATTATTTTGGTCACATTCGTGTCCCCTAGTGGAGGGCACAAAAGCCAATCCCCAATTATGCAGGTGGATCCTCGCATAAGTCACCTCTTAAGCTACATGTAGTTGGTAACCGCAGGTGTATTCTTTTTTCTGTCCTTTACCTGCAGGGGTGAACATCTGATATGTAGTACAAACATTATGACTGGTGTGACGTACGTACTGTAAGATGGACGATATCGACAAGCTTTATAACGGGGACCAACAAAAAAGACGCATTGAAGTAAGCAAAGGACGATAAACACAAGGGTCTTGAAATATCTGACATTAATGGTACTGTGAAACATTGTGAAATGATAACGGAAAGTCTACTTACATTGAATTATAACCAGGAAGACCAGGAAGGTGACGAAAATAGTGTAAGCACCTGAACAATGATATTTTATCATATACTTCATATATCACAATACATTTACATTGAAGATTTTATCAGATGTGTGTATGCTTATCAGATCTGAACAGCAATTAAAGTTTGACATACTCGTAAGGGCACATTCTGGTGCACGACTTACGGAGTTTTGATGATTAAGACTGAATATTCGAACTCACATCATAATTGTAAACACGGATCGGTATATTTACGTTCATTGAAAAAACGAGTCATTATTGATTGATATATATTAAACGATAAGTGAACACAATATGGTTAGATATGTAGAGCATAAGTAAGTAGTAAATCTTTGATGATAAAACTCTTAAAACACTTAACATACGTTAAATATGATGATATTATAAAGCATACTAACCCATGAGAAAAATAGGAATAGTAGTCAGCGCGCTTCACCAAAGATAACAAGAGATACAGGAGTGTCTTTGGTCTTTAACGACGGCGTTCTGCGAAAGTTCAGTACACAAAGGACTCCGTAGTACTGTAGTGTGTCCTGGTTTGCCACGTCGAGTTCCACGTCTGACTTCTCAAATAAATAAATCTCGTTATCAATTGTTACTCTTTTCATTCTACATATAAGGAAACTAGTAATCAATGTTTGGTATAAATATGTCCTGTACGAGTGATGGTAAAAATTGATTAAAACTATACGCAAGCTTAATGGTCGCTATTATTATAATGTTGGAATATTATCCATTTGTGTATTGACGTTTTAACTTATTCTCGTTAGTGCGCCTTGTGACGTTGTTGCGAATTATCCCGATACTATTACTTGGATTCGTCGTCGAAGGCCCTCCCGGAACACCTGAACTTATCATCCATGTTCTTTGTCAATGGTCTCTGTGCAAACATTTCCTTTACATTTTACACTTAGAACACTGTGGGTTTTTTTGGGTTTTTTTTATATATATATATTTGTGGTGAATATCTGCAGGGTGTGGTTTTCTTTTTTCAGAAGTGATTTATCAAAGTTATAGTAATGTCAGATACAAGGTTTTCCAATGCGTAGTTAGAATTTTATCAGCGGCACGGCCATCCCTCAAACCAGGACGTCATCGTCAGCTTATCGAGTTTACGTATCAGGTCATCTGCTTATCATAATCCTGGTTTATATCTCATTTGATATCTTACATTATCAGCCTTTAGCTATAAAACTTTACATGGAACAATTCTACACAGGGGAAAACACAGTGAAATACAGGTTAATATTGCCAATACTACCCAGAAACAGGCTATAATCCTTCTAATATCATTCCTTGTTTTCTTAAAAAGTGGGGAAATCGAGAACAAGCCGTTTTGTGTATTTTCTGGAGGAAATAAAGGAAATAATAATATACAAATTTCACACCTAATCACGCTGAAGGAGTTGAGATGGGTTTTTTAATTGAACCAAAGATGTTACTTATATGAACTTATTTATAGGAAGAACAAGTTAATAATTCAATTACATTTTCAAGATAAATATAATTAAATACGGTATATAAGTGCTGCAAAATATCATATGTATAACTATTTGTCGGCATTTTATTGTTTATTCTTTGACCTAGCCTAAGGAAGGCAAATTGTCATCAAAATGTGATTATACGCTTGGTAAGATTAGATATTTAAAATATGCAAAATATTTTATTGTCGTGAAAATAAAGCAGACGTTAAGTTTGGATAGTTTTGTATACATTTTGTAGTAAAATATTTCCGTATCTGTGGACCGTTGTTGTACAACTGTATGCAGAACTGGTCACAAAATGGTCACAAAATGGCGCCGGTATCGAATAACTTCTCATTGTGGAATAAACCAAGTGATTGAAGACTGACGTTCTAGTCAAAATCAAAGCATTAGCATTGTTTGTCAAAAAAATAGAGTGAACTGCTTATAAGTCCCTTTAGTTTGTTTATACGGCAAATGTCTAGTTTAAGTGCTCAGAAAATGGCCATGCAGTGCTACCAGTCTGTGCTACCCTCTTCAGAGTCGTCAATCAAGGTTAGGTTTGCGGTCACAGGGAGATAACTCGAGTTTAAGTCGTGAAATTCTCCGATCCATTTGAGCGTTTGAAATAAGCGAAAGTTACGGTGTTGTTGCAAACATAATTTGCAAACATTCTGATACTGATCGTCGATCGTCTGCAAAATGTCAACATCTAAAAAAGGAAAATGTCAACTTAAAAACCTTTTCTAAAACAATTGAAAGCAATCCATTGGTAAGTCACCGGTTGATGAGCCAACAATAGAAGACCACACCTATAATACACATTTTTTTGGAATGAAAAATAAATATATTTGTATTTCCCAAATTTTTATGAACTTTTACCGCATATTTTCCCAGTTTTAATGCTTTTTATAAGTGCACTCCACTGGGCCGCTTTCTGTTCAAAGTCCAATAAAATGAAAAAATCCTAAAAATTATATATGCAGACAGTTATGATTTTATTCACTTTTTGCAAACCATTTACTTTTATACAAATTGGTCAAACATTGCAGGATACAAATATGAAAAAATAACTCTTTCCAGAAATACCAAAAAATAAAAATTGCATTTAGTCATATTCAATATTGCCGTAAAATTCAATTGTTTGTACTTCATTTTTCATGGTAAATGGTAGAAAAAAATATTTGTACAACAAATTATATCAGATATAAATGAAAAACCAAATTCATTTTCTTGCAAAATCTCTTAACAATTCAAAAAACGTAATAAATCAAATTTTTACCCTCTGAATTTGGAAAAAAATGTCTAGTTACGACACCCCCTCCCCTCAGGTTTGATCAATTTTGTCCATTTTCGATAGTTGAAGTGTCTCAGTAAGTTGTCTTGACATCAAATAATCCAAAGTAATGTGCTCAAAGTACAATGATTGTCTTGATACATCATCTAACAATACAAATATATGAATACATCAATATCTTTCTATGTAAATTTCGAAAAATTATGATATTGTAGCCCGCGTGTGTTTTGTCGATTTTGGTCAACCACGTAGAAATCTAACAAGTCTTATTGCAAAAAAATGGTAAGGGAGACATAGAAAAACTTCAAATCATATCAAATTAGCCATACACAACTAAACAGGACAAAACACTTCACCCTAAAATCATTTTTAAGGCGAAACAACTTGGTGCGGAACGACCCATGGCGAACGGTATTTAGGACGAAACGAACTGATACCAATCTTTCCACCAAGGACGTTCTGAATGTCTACCTAGCTTCCATTACGCCCTCACCGGGACCCGCCCCTGATATACCTTATTTTGACGAGATTTTCTTTAAACGGCCGCGCAAATAACCAATAGTCGCCATTTGGTTTACAATCGGGGTTTCCCCAACGGGCGGTAACTCATACCGAAAATGACGTCAAGATTAGGGGGAATTCCAACATTACGAAGTTTCCCGATGTTGGCCGATGTTTGCCGACTTCATTATACATGGAATACGTTTCCATGAAAACGAGATCCGGGACATATGATTTATTTTTATTTTAATATAACGGAAATATTAAAATCTATGAGTTCTCAATTTTTCTTGAATCGTTGGACATTTTCATCGTTTTGTTGCCATGGCAACGTCTCTATTTTGGCAATGAAATGTTAAAATCTTGTGTTTTCGTGATATTTTCTTAACTTTTCAAGCAAATTTTATCGATTATGTTTAGATCATAATCATTTGTACAATTTTCTTAAAAAAAATAGTTCAAATATTATATATTTTTTTCGTTAAAATTAGTTAAATAAGTACATTGTGATAAAACAACCAAAGATCTTGAACTGTTCTTTCATAAAAACGGGACGGACGATTTTCTTTAAAATGCCATGAAATGATAGAGGTTCCCCAAATGAACAAATAAATATGACACATTACTACATTATTATAATGATAAAAATTCAGGAAGAGCGCAAACCTTACCTTTAGTTTCCATTCAACACATTGTCTGACAGTTCTGACAAATTTGATATTCCTGGATGCCATTTACATGACGCCATTTTAAACATGATCTGCTTCCTAAAAGCTCATGTTCATTCGCAATCTGGCAATCTATATCCATTCTCGCTCTGGTCTAATCTTTCCATGGTGGCTGCTTCAGTAGTTGAACTTGTGACGTTACTGTCAAACAAACGTCTCATTCACCGGAATTTACGATCATGCTTATTAGTAGTATAAGGACAAGTGAACAGTGTATAAAAGCATAAAATAGCATAATGTTCAGAGCAAAATCATTTGTACAATTTTCTTTAAAAAAAATACAGTTTTGATTTTTATACAGTGTATAAAAATATAACATGTATGTCTCTGCATTGCGCTGACCGATTTCTATGGGATTCTCGACATATTTGATTTTGGAGCATATTGGATTATGATGTATTCATTTCAAATTTCATACAGGGGGCACTTCATCATATAATTGTAACTCTATGTTAATAAGACGTGAAGCACAATCAAACAAAAGCACAGTGTTTATTTTAAAATATTTTAATTCTGAACAAACATAATAACATCATCATGAATCCACAGTACAATGTGTAATTAATTTGACACAGTGATTCTGGTATATACTGAAAAAGTGGAATTTCTCGCGTGTGGTAATATTCGCTTGAAGACTTATCAAACTGATTGCGGTGGGAACAATTTCGCGTTGAAAATGGTTATGAAATAAATGTATTCTACATATTTACCATATGTATAATATTTTAATATTTATTTTCTTACTGAAATCTATATATTTTTATTCGCTTTCTGATTTTTTTTTCACTTTCTAAAATCTATAATACGTAATCTTTAAACCTATATTCGCGTGCTTTAATTAACTCCACGCGGAAAACGGGAATATTTCCACACCTCCAAAATGTCCACGTTTGCAGTATATGATATGCAATGTCATTCATAATAGCTATTGATTTCATTGAAAACGTGTAAATGTTACATCGTAAACAACACCATACAAACACACTTGTCTTCTACAGAACACTACGTCAACGAGATCGTATGTGAAACTGATTTATAGTGATAAAGTCTCACTGTGGAATGTTATCGTATGCTTTATAACATATCAAGTAAATGTATAACATTTACATGTAAAATAAACTAACATTTTTCAAATGCTGTTATCTACAAAGTTTTTGAAAAGCATTGAATAGATATAGAACAGACATAGCCTAATTAAAATGATAAAAACAGCAAGTAAACATTTTTGTTGATTGGCTTACCAACGTCTATGCAGACTGAAATAACCATAAGAAATATTTTGTTGAAAATGTGTTGCTTAAAGATTTCTCCCGTTTAATCTCAAACAAGTGTATAGGTGACATGGGATTTGCGCAGAAATGGCATGTTTAAACCAGACCGAATCAACAGGTAATGACGTCAACAGGATATCTATTATAGTGATATGTTGGAATGTTAAAGGTCAATCCTTTGCCAAGTAGCCACAAAACTGGTTTCGTACAGAACATACAAGATTTATCTCCCTTATATCAAACAGCGGTAGTAAACGGTGCCCTATCCATTGTAACCACATCGGTTTTTGTAACGTTTGTGTCATAAAAGGAAACAATATTAAATAACACAATACATCAGTGCCACCAACACGGTAGTAACTACTATTGCTGAAAGGTAATCCTGTATAGATTACAGTACCAACGTGTCACTATTAGTACACTAAGTGTAACAGCTGCGGTATTGCATAGTTATCTTCTCCTGTGAGCTGGTATTGATTGTTACGTCATTGGTTTGTGTGAGAAAATAACGTCGTTTTCTCAAAAATTGTTGACGTTACATTCACAAACCAATGACGTAACAATCAATACATGCTCACAAGAGAAGATAACTCTGCAATACGCAAAGACGGAATATGAGGGGGAAATACTGCTTTACTTGCAAACTATCTTTTCCAGTGATGCGGTATAACCCGGGGACCCGCTCACTAGGTAGGCAACGTCGAGCGTGGTCAATAGTTGGATAAGTGACCGCCTGCACCTTACACTAAGCTCTGACGCTGATGTACCAAACCAATATAGTAGTGCACTGGTTTGTCACAAGTATAACACAGGACTGATGTGAAAAAATTGGTATTATACACCACTGATACATCACAATAAGTATTATACAACACTGATGTACCAAACCAATATAGTAGTGCACTCATTTGTCACAATATAACACAGGACTGATGTGAAAAAATGGTATTATACACCACTGATACATCACAATAAGTATTATACAGCAGTAACACATCACAATAAGTATTATACAGCAGTAACACATCACAATAAGTATTATACAGCAGTAACACATCACAATAAGTATTATACAGCAGTAACACATCACAATAAGTATTATACAGCAGTAACACATCACAATAAGTATTATACAGCAGTAACACATCACAATAAGTATTATACAGCAGTAACACATCACAATAAGTATTATACAGCAGTAACACATCACAATAAGTATTATACAGCAGTAACACATGTACAACACCGATGCGACAAAATAAGTATTTTACAGTACGGATGGTCCACAGTAAGTATCCTACAGCACCGATGTGTTATATAATCACAAATTGGTTATCTAGAACCTATGCGGCTTGCTACGATTTTTCTAGATTAACAAATCATGTGTTATCTCCGTTTCATTGTTCTTTTTTCGAAAAGAATAGCCTCAATGCAACATCTCTTTTCTATTTTTTTTGCACAAATCATGTATACATATCGTTGTATTGTCGACATATTTATATAAGCACACAATTCGCGTATCTCTAACAAAAAGGCACGTAAACATACGATATATGTATATATAAAAAAATGAAATCAAACTTTTAATTGATATGAGATATGTTACTATTGAATGTAAATATAATCACGACCTATACTACTTAAGGCGTTTAATAATAATTGCATCAATAGATATTTAAAGCATATGTTCCGAAAATATAAGAATTCTTTTAGCATGTCTTATCACTATTACTATTCTACTTCTTTCCGAGGGGTTCCGATAATAAACGAATCATCTTAGCATGTCCATCACTATTACTATACTACTTCTTTCCGAGGGATTCCTTGGTATTTTGTTTTCTAAGCATAACCTATTCAGATATAGTTATTTTAATACGTTCTCGAGGTAAATGTGTTAATATTTAAAAGAAAATAATATTTTATAAAAGTAATTTGTTAAAAAAGGACAAAGTCTACTTCATTAGCTATATGGAATGATTAAAACATAGACGTTGATTACGATACAATTCAACTGAAGGACGATTCAAACAAGTCCTTATATTCGTGGTAAAGTTTCTGCTAAATTAAATGCATGTACTCCTTGAAAATTGATCTAAGGTATGTTAATATACAGAATGAACCGAATGTGTCCATTATATTACAAACAAACCATACCTTACTATTTAGTGATACGTTTGTATGTCATGTGCGTTTTTGAAAAAGAAATATTAATAATTAAAAATAAACCCACTTATATAAGTCATTCGTTTAAAAAAGAAGAAGAAAATAAAACATGAAAACCACTTAATAAATTATATGGAATTTATCAAAAATAAACAATAATTACGAGACTATTCATCTAAATTATGATTCAAGTAAGTGCTTATCTTCATGGTAAACTAGTATAAAATGTTGATTTGTATATAAAAATAAAAAATATGAATGATTTGAGATTATACATATTACTGGCCACAATCCCAAAATATATGCGCTCAATGTTATGAAAACTAATTACTTAATCATCATTTACGGACATTAACGTCGTCACTTTGAAATTGGCAATGAAACATAAACTACAACGAAACAGTCAAACAAGTGCACAATGCACTGGTCAAAGATATATGTTGTACATCACCGAAGATTTCAAAAAACTCTAAAGCGTCATGGAAAAAAAATCTACCAAACTGAGAAATTAAAAACCTGATAGGAAAAAGTGTTCCAATTCGAAGACTCCAAAGCTTCTTCTCAATCAAAAGCTCTAAAAGATCCTTTAAGAGAGTCTTTCGAATCGAAAATTCCAAAGCATCATCCATCTCAAAAACCCCAAAACATCATAAGATATTACGTTCCAAATTCACGACAGATAACTTGTATGTCACTTTTGCTATTCTCATGATGAAATAAAACTCTAAGTATGATTTTTAATTGTAGATACTTCTGGGCTCTTCTCACGATATTAACCAAGCCAACAGTGTATTTTAAGTAGACATACTTTTGAATGCCATCATAATTTTCATGGCAATTAAGTCAACATGTTGTTTTGTATGCCACAATAAATCTTTAAAGTGTCGAGTCAGGAATAGCAACCACTGTGCTAAGCTTCCTTTATATCATGATGTTATAATACTACCTACTTTTCCTGTCCATTGATCTGAATCCCCCAGGTCTTATTTCCAGCGATATTATCTATCTGATAAACGAATCAAGCAGATACAGAAGTGAAAGCATCTGCTTGTTAGAGGGTTTCTAGGATTATGGTGTCACATTTCTGATATCAACTTGTAAGAGTTATGTCGATAGCCCTAAGTCGATGGCAATTATGTGTCATCATATTGGACCAATGGATAAATAACTAAACAGCAAAACACTATTGCAGTTATAACCTTAATGTAGAAAGAAGAAGAGGGACTAAACGGACAGAACATAATTGTTAATGTTATTCAGACCACGACGCTTTAAATCATATAAAATAGGATAGACAACAAGACTGGTAAGTGTTCAATGGACGACGCCTTATTATGAATAGACCGCGTAATGGACTATCATTTATAAGTTTACAAAAACAGGATATGGATGTAAAGTATATATCTCTGCTAATATACATTGTTTGATTGACATGCGTGTTTGGAGCAGTGTCATCGGACGAGATCATGAGAATGAATGTGATTTTACAAAGAGGTACCGGAAGCCGCTAGTAATGTGCGTAAGGCAATGAACTCTGCCCTGACTGACAGGCCGGGTAGCAGGAACAGGGAGGTAGGAACTCGCTCTGTGACTGTGCTGTTGTGACGTAGGTGGGCGGTTCCTGGTGCAGAGGGTGTGAGGACACCGAGGAAACGGGTGAGATATGTCCGGTAGAGGATCCTGCAGAGGAATAATCAAACCTTTCAGAGGGAGGGGAGCGATCATGTTCAAACTGTAGCAATGGAGGATGTCCTCGATCGAAATTGGTCATCGGGTACGGCATCCTACGATCTAGTCGGGACTGTACGTATCGGTCAATCGGTAATAAGGATGATACCGAGTCACGGAACTGCAGGTGTTGAAGAAAGCGGCCTTCCACTCCAACACGGGAGTTCCAATCAAGGGAGTTGGTTATTGAACCTGATACTCTTTTGTTTGATTCAAGAATCATTTTGAAATTGAACTTATATGTATACCGTTTACCTTGAACCTTAGTGAGTATCATTTTGTCATAGTAATATCTTAACGCTCTGCTTAACTTGTCGTAATTCATGTTGGGTTTGTTTTTGCGACTTCCCCACCGTTTGGCGACTTCCTCTGGATCAGTCATGCGGAACTCGCCGTTTGGTCCCTCCCACTTTATACAACAGTCGTTCGCTCCGTCTGTTAGTAGCTCCAAAAGGAATTGCCACAACTGGACCTGTCCACCGCCTGCAACGAAATGAAATAGAACAATCAATGCATAATACCGTCAACAGATAGGAACAATATTGGAATACAAAGACGCGGTAGGGAACCATATGAACTTTTTTTTTTGTGTTTTACGTCCAGCGGCCAGTACCTGGCGACTGCCCCACGTAGGCCTCGGACCCACGAAAAAGTGGTGAAGGGCTAGTGGTAGCAGAATGTCAGACACCTTAACCACTTGGTCTGCGCGGCCCGAAGATGAACTGAAGAAATTATTAAGGCCAAAACAAACATTATGTGTGTTTCGGGTAACATGCCAGAAAAATACATGTAAGTCGGAAGGCAGATATCTTTATTTTTTTTGTTTTATTTTTTATTGGTTTATTTTTATAATTTGTATCAAATTTTGCAATGCATTTGTTCACACTCGGTAGCTATTAAGCTATCAAGAGTTGGGCCAGGGTAATGGAACAGGACAAAAGTACATTATAATTAGTGACTGAGTTTCACCGGGATATTAAATTAATTTAAGATAGAAATAGGTGAAAATTGTCGAGGGTCGTCAGGAAAATCTAGGGAAGGTCTGAACACCTGAACGCAAACATTTTTTAACGGAAACATTATGAACCCGAATACATTTCTGAAAATCCAAACATATGCGCTGAGCGTGTAAATGTCCCAGATGAGGTAACCATCATCCAATAGTACACATCTTTTCACAGTATAACATAAAACACTGGAAATATTGAGAAAAAAACCTGCACAATTTAGAAATGGAAGTAAGTCAATTTAGTAGGTCAAAGTAAGTATTATTATTCTATATGGACATCGGTCTATGAAGGACTCCTCAGTGGTGGTACTCAAGATAAGATCAGTAAAATCAAATCCATTCATATGTGCGAACCGAAGGAAAAGATGCCTATAAACTCTTATGACGTCACAATTTTTTAACTTTGACAACTAACCCAACAAGACATTTTAAAGGTGTACTTCATGTAACACCTTCCACAATAAATTCACCAACTAAAATGTTTTAAACGACAAGTTTCATTATGGTTCAAAATAAGTGTTGTACTGATATAGTTCTTCCTCCACTGATTACTGCTAATTTACTTTTTAGAGGTAATCATATGTTTTGCACTTTCAGCATTCACTTTGAAGCGCTTTAATAATGTTTTTCTTAAATATGAAAAAATCATTTGAATCCTGCTACCTATGTAGTAGTATAAATGGATTGACCTTTGTTTGCAATCAAAATGAAGTTCACTCTTGATATATATTTACATAAGAAAACAATTCAACGTAAGGAGAAAAAACTAGTAACTACTGAAGCCTTGGCTGCTTGGATGATCTAGTAACTGTAAATCTTCATCGATAAATAAGTGAATTTGGAAAAATACTTAATGAATTAAGTGATGTGAAAAGCTTTTCGAATATTTGTATTCCTTTGTGACATTAGTCAATTTCAGGTCAAATAAATCATATAATATAACAATGCTATACATGTGAGTTACCTACCTGCCAGAAGCGATGCTAATTGTCGCAATTGGGCTTCACCATAACCGGACACGTGCAACAAAGGAACTGCAAAAGAGAACAGAAAACAACATTTATTATCTGAATGTACATATTGTTGCTCTACTGGATAATCTTACAGTGTNTGGTTCTACATATGGTTCAGCTATTCATAACCTTGACCTTTGGCACTTCTAATGTGCCCTACATGAAGGAAATGATCGCACGGTCCTCGTTTTCTACATCTACAAACACATTTGTGAAAAAGGTGCTTCCGTTTTATTGGTTTTCTGTTAAAATTGTATTATACTTCACTTTTAGCGTCGTCATTGTACAAATATTAAATGATATCAATTCATCCTCATTTAAAATCAATAAACAATTCTACTACTTTGTTTACTGCCATGAAAATTAAGTACATTTTGTCATTTTATTCAAACAGTATGTTTAAAGTACCCGTTTATAAACAGGGACTAGGTTATAGGTTGTAAATGGTTAAATGTCCTATCAACAGCTAAGTTCATTTAAGGACTTGCCTCCATATGTGTTGTGCATATGTGTGCCGGATACAGACTATGAAGGTGTATATGCTTACTTTAATAGAGCGGTTCTGATGCCGATTTTATAATGCTTTCTCATTGAAGTACCATGCCGAAGACAACCAGCATATAGTTCCGTCCTGTAACATTATACTAATGACGGATGAACCAGTTGTTGCCATTACCATACATTCTGAACATTAGGCAAGTAAAAATAGCTACCATTTTAAGGACTTTGGTATGTCCTGGCCTGGGGACGGAACCATTTTATTTTCACCTGGACGAACAATTAACATTAATCAAAAGGTGACGTATTGACCAGGACGGTGCAGTGAAATAAAAATAAGTAAATAGTAAAGAGAAACATAAAGGTCCAAAATATTGTAATGGGTGTAGCAGATTTATTTCGGTCGCTTCTGTGTTCCCAAGTAAAGGGCAAAATAGAAAATTCCCTATTCTGCAGGGGGTTCTGCCATAAGTCGCCTCTTACGTTACATGCAATGGGTAACAACAGATTCAGTCTTTTTCGATCCCCGACCGTATTGTAAACAGGGAGAGTAGAAAACAAAACCATGCCAATCAACCTTCTTCTTATCAGTTGACGCCAAAGACGACAGTCATTTCTTCGGTGAATCTCTGTACATACTCTTGCGATGCTACTGAAATGATGTAACTGAAAATTGGGGGGTTTCTTCTGTGCTGTTTACTTTGAGCACAAGGGGAGCACACTTGTTCTGTTACTCTAATAGATGAAACAGTTTCTATCTTCTCCTTCCTTCTCTTAGTTTCCCTGGTGTTGGCCATTGCCTCAATCATCGATGGACAACATGTCAGATACCCTTGCTCAAAAAGTTGTCCCAATCCCGATTGGACAACCGATCTCAAATACCCTTGCTCAAGTAGTTGTCCCAATCCAGATTGGTCATCCGATCGCAAATACCCTTGCTCAGTAGTTATCCCTATCCCCATTAGACACCACCTCGCACCTGCGCAACTGATTTCTACAATACTACAAAGACATTCGCTTTTAGCTACACCTGTGTTCGCCTTTGTCGAAATTGAAAGTGTTTACGGTCATGATATGAGGCTGAAGTTAAATTCAATATTCAATTTAAATCATAATGAAGAAATGAGTAAGGCAAACATAATTTTACTCGACTTATACTCCGTAAATTACAAATAATTTCTGTTAATGTGTACGGTATATTTTGAATTAGAATATCTGACAACTGATAGTAAATCCTCGACGGAAAAAACAAACAAACAAAACGAAACCCATAATTCCAACACAAAATTGATTACACTGTGACAAAATAAGGACAAAGGGATGATTTACATACAGTCTTTTCAAAAAACAAAAAGGAAAATAAGACCTTGTGTTCCAGAAAGATAAGTCTATTCTGCTTTGTAATCGACGACAGCCGCCATGGCAATCTAGGTCAAACCACAATAAGGTCCTCATTCCGAGAGCTCGGGTCCTGACACTTTATCTGCCAGGCACACTTCTGAGCATAGTAATAAACGACGAAATACGATGTAAACGGAAGTATTTGCAAACACTTTCCGACTGGCAAATCAAATATGTAAATTAACTTTAAGATAAATGATTGCTTGATCAGCTTGAAAGTTAGAGAAAGTGAGTAACATTCGTATTCTGGTTCTGTATAACCTCTGACATACTCAAATGCCAATTTATTATTTGAATTAAGATAACCCTGACCGTTAACTGTAAACATGTCGCTCTAACTTTGTTAAAAGCATGTCAACTGCGAACTTTTGTGAAAACCATGGAAATATGTAAAGAAACCCTTAACTGTAAACATTTTCGCTCTAACTTATTTAGAACATGTCAACTGCGAACCTTTGTAAAAATCATGGAAATCCTTGAAATATGGGCGCTAACGCCGTTATAAACAATAAAAGTATATCTTTAGTAACAACGTCTTAACAGATCATGCCAATATCAAACCTGCGGGGTTGTAAACATCTGCTAAGGTATAAATGTATAAAGTTGTTAAAGTGTTGGCATAGACTGTAAATTAATTTATTACAACTTTATTTTTATAGAAGTCGTTGCTTTAAAACTGATAACTAAAAAGACTTATTTGAAATCCACTTGGATATGGACATTTGTACACTTGAAGAACACTGTATTCTCACATTTGTTTGACCATAAACGAAGTCATTATTTATTTGCTTGTGTAGGGATAAATGCCCTCACACCAGCCAAGGTCCTATGAAGACGGGTACTAAGAGGAGACAACGCCGAGTGGAAAGAGTAGACAAGTGGGAAAAGAAACGAAATATATCCAAATTGCTGGATTGTGAGCATCAGAGCAATTTTCTACAATGTTCCCCAAAACTCACCAAAAAACACACCTAATAACACCTCAAGAAGAATGCTAAAATATTATATCAATCAAGTGAATATTTTCCAGTAGCATTGACTAATAAAAGGCAGAGTTACGCTACCAGTAAAAGGTGGAGTATATCGTGAGTGGCAATAAAACGTCGTGTACATCGTTATACATTTACTATTATAAATTAGTAGGTATAAGACGCATTTCACTGTGTTTGGAATGTAATTTAAGAACCGGCATCGACATTTTCTCTCAAAAACAAATAAATGTAAAAAAATGTTTCAGACAACATTTTAACCGCAGGGCAGTGATATATTGTAGATATATGTTGCTTTTGGCCTATATCACTCACCTGGTACTTTTTAGTTTATTTTTATATTAACAGCTTAGGTCTTGTAAGGACGTGCCTTCGTGTGTGTTGTGTAAGCATGCATGTGCGTATATGTGCTAGAGATAAGGTATGTTGGTGTACTTGCCTCATAGCACGGATCACCTTGTACAAATATCACGTTTGTTACATAAAGTTAATCAGTATCTAAGACTATTGAAGTAATTCAAAAGAACCTGTTAAAACATGCAAATACATTTGACCCCTGTGACCTTGACATTCTAGCAAGGTAGGTAGGAAGTAGAGATAAATATAAGATTCCGAATGTTGCAATGAGGGCAGCAGATCAATTATCGTGTCTTCAGTGTCCCCATTAGCCGGAGACAACCCCCGATCCTGCAGGAACCCCCACAATAGTAGCCCCTCGAGGTATACAATATAATACAGCAGGCCTATATTTCCTCGACTCTGTAGGGCCTCGAATTGATCAATGATATAATACATAGCTCTTGCCATTTAAAATAAAGGTTCCTTAAGGTGTAGTGGTTGGCTATAATGTTTATCTAATTCATGTTATTTAAGGGTTTCTTAAAAAAGAGGTTAACCGAGTGTCTTTTACAATTTGAAAATTTGATAATCAACAATCACGAATTTGGATGCCTTAACCTCCTTGAACGTTCAGATATATCTAAAAATCCGCATGTTTCTCTTGGGAATACAGATACACAATTATTCCACAACACAATGCAAACTGATTTTACAAAGAAAATGTCAGACGATTGTAATCAACTGCTTCCTTAGTTCTATTACAGCCAAGTCATTGGTTAAACAAAACGGGTACATTATGACAGAACAGATCATACAGCCATTATCCGCGTTATATGGAGTGAGGAGGTATATGACAATAATGGTATAATGGTAATGGTTTCTCCTATGATCTAGTATTTATAAGAATGTAAAAACATGTCAAACCAAGCAAACAAATTGTGTGAACATTGAGAATATGTGACTGAAACATAATGTGTTCTGTTAAATGTTCTGTTGAAAAAAGAAATAGAAAATAGAAAATATGTGATCATCTTATACTACTTACCTGGCTCGTAGTACCGATATATATACAACCCTAGCGACATCTTGTGTTCTTAATGCTCAATCGGGTTAGAATGAGTAAGTAGTTACAATGCACCCTTTATATAATCCTGTTGTATTTCACAGTTGTTATCAAAGCGCGTAGTACCGGAAATTAATGATGTCAATCGTAGAAAAGTGATAAATGGTAGTTCGTTTTGTTTTTATAAATTGTCAAATCATCATTTCATCATGTTAATGTTAGTAGCAAACAACAATCCTAAACACCGCATGAAGTGTGAGTTTGTAACTGCTATATATTTTTAGTTACACGGATTTTTGGCAGGGTATACGGGATGGTATGGGGGTTGTGGCTGATCCATTGACTTGAAAAGCTGTCTCCATCGCACCTCTTGAGATGTCTCTATTGTTCTTGTTAACGATTTATCCCGCTTTACTTCATTATATTTGGTTTGGTATGTTTTGATAGTACTCTACGTCCTATTTATAGATTTAGTCATAAAAGTACGTGGTAGTTTCTGGTGATGAAGGACCCCCCCACCCCCACCCCACCCCACCCCGAGAGAAAAAACACCCACCGAGAGAAACACCACCCACCTGCGGCCGGTACCTGGTGACTGTCCCATTAACCCTCGAATAAATACCTTCCAAATTGAGTTTGAAATGCCAGTTTTGTTTTAGATAATTTTTTGGAAATTCTTAGAAATGTATTTTTGTATATGTAAAACTGGTTTTGTTTCTACCTCAAATGAGTTTAATGAACTCGTCCTCACACCTACTGCAGTATCAAGGAAGGTGAAACAATACTCTCAAAGTTGTAATATAATCATAATATCAAGCAAAATCAAAACCTATTTTCTGCTTTTATTTGTGATGATGAAAGACAAGATGTAAATAAGAAATATTTCTCTTTACTGTTATATTCCTCCTGTCAAAGCACCTTTAAGTATTGCAATTAAAAGCTAATTGCAAGTTGTAGTAAATACTAACCTTATAGAAAAATAAAAAATAAAAAAGAAGAACAAACAAGCTGATATGCAAATGACAGTTTCCCCCTCGATGACTTAGGTAGTAAGGTTATTCCTTTTTTCTACACATATTTTTTTGTAGACGTTATTAGTCAAAGCAGCCTTTGATGATCAAGTACAACAAAGAGAGGGGTCAAACCTTACAAAATGATCTAATTAAACGCGCCCTTTGTTGAAAAACCAATAATTTCATTTGATGTGATTATACCATTGTATATCTGTTCTATGAGGAGGTTCATATGCGAGCATAACTGTCATTTTCAGTCTATGAATATATAGTCTTATCACTATTATAGCGTGAAAATGCGCTCGGAAAAGAGTCCTTTAAAAATCATAATGCAAAACGTTTTTTAGCACTTTCATTGGCACTTACTTCATATGAGTTTCCTATTTATGTCAAATAGTGTTTTCTTTCATAAACAACAACAACATGATTCTAGAATGAATCTAACTTTGGATGGTCTTTCGATTTTGTACGGGAAAACGACCTCATCTCGTCGAT